ATAATTCTTCTTGTTCTATATACCATGTATCTTTAATCATGGCTCTTCACACCATCATATAGCGCCTAGTAAGTTTTGTCTTCATAGACCGCTTTTACTGTTCTGCCATCCATTTACTCAAGCGCGTTAGGTAGGTCACTTGCTGTCTTCACTCTTGCTTTTAATATGTCCTCTGAGTGTCTGATTCTCCTAGCTTCCTTTCCTCATTGTATGCGTCTTCATAGATCATGTGTCTCCATTGATTCTTCTTGGTTTTCTGTGAAATGCAGTGACTTCTCGAGGTGATAGTGTAGTGCTTTTCATTTGATTTCTCTATGGAAGTAAGAAATTTTCCTTTTCTTAGGTTGGTTATCGTACAAGGCCCTACAAACCAATCTACTGTAATATTTAACACATAACTGGAAGTAATTTATATAAACTTTTGCACATACCACATATTCATTCCTAATCTGTTATAGCTTCGAATGAGCTTCAAACAATTCCCGAGAAGGATCTTTACATGCGTCTACGAAGGGAATGTGGTTGCTAATAAGTTTCTGCTGGTTTTTACCGTGTCGCAAAGTCAGGGATATTGTTTTAATAGTACAAAAGCGACGAGGTGTGTAGCCTTCTTGATTATTTTCCAGTTCAAATGAAAATTCCTCGTGGTGATAACATATTTTTTTTCTACCGAAAATAAAGAATATTTGCTTTGCTGACGTTTCTTTCTTTCTTTCTTTCTTTTACTTGTCGCTTTCTTTCCCGATATTGTTTTCTACTAATTTCTTCTTTCTTTCTTTCTTTTTCTTTCTTTCTTTCTTTCTTTCTTTCTTTCTTTCTTCTCCTTGTTTTCTATTACTAGTTTCTTTCTTTTTTCAAGAAGGAAAATTAACTTTGACTCTTGCATAGTTTTTGTTAGATTACTTCACACCAATATGTTTCATAATCGAATACCAACGCTGGCGAAGGAAGCAACATTCATCTCCTCTTTGTGCGAGGCTGACTTGAACATCGGGATCAATTGCGTGCAAATATTAAAGAAAGTTGTCAGGATGCTGCTCCTCTTAATTTTAATCTTATCTGCTACTGTGGCTTTGTCGTACGCAGTAGAGCAGATCTGGCTGTTCACTCGCCGAAACATGTGGCAATTGAACCTCAACCACTCGAGCAAAATGGCTCAACCACATGTTCCATCTGTCTAAAACTTTGCAAAACACCTGAAGGTCTCGGAGAGAAACACATTTGTGTCAATAGAAGTTGAACACCTCTTTATTTTACTCATTTGTCATTCTCGTTGAGAGAATATATATATATATATATATATATATATTTAGAAAAAGTTGCAAATTAAAAAAATAATAATGTTTTATTTTATTAAAGTATTTATTTATTTATATATATATTTGATATTTCAAATTGTTCTCAATCTTTCATTAGAAATAACTGTTTGTTACAAATAATTTAAAATTACTGTTTGTTAGCAAGTAGCGTCCGTAACAGTAATTTTAATTTATTTGTAATAAACAGTTATTTCTGATGAAAGATTGAGAATAATTTGAAATATTATATATATATATATAAATAAATAAACACTCTAATAAAATAAAACATTATTATTTTTTTAATTTGCAACTTTTTCTAAATATACATATTAATTTTCTCATTATATATATATATATATATATATATATATATATATATATATATATATGTGTGTGTGTGTGTGATCCACAGACAGACTATTTCTGTTCTATCATCAGTGTGGCTATACATCCGATTGGCTCAAGCCAGAATCGAAACCCAACTGGCATTGGCATTAGTGGAAATTTTTCCCTGAGCTAACAGCTCGTGGAAGAGAGGAAGATGAATTTTTACGTATTTATTTTAGAATGAACAAGCCAGTGACTCAGAGAGCTTAATTCATAGAAATGCTTTGCATTAGCAGTAGCACTCAAAGTTTACAAATTCGCGCTTTTCCCTCTAAAGTGCTCGACCGAATTTTATTTTTTCGCGGGCGTATATATATATATATATATATATATATATATATATATATATAAGCATAAGTCTCATTAAATAATTTAGTTTCTTAGTAGGCTTATTTAAGGAAATTACCATATTGATGCATATTCATTTTATTCCGAGTACTTTTGCCATTACCACAATGTCATCATCATGGTCTTGGTTTTTCTAAGAAAAAAATTGTTGCTTTCATTATTTTTCTAAGAAAAATGTGTTGTTTTCCTTTGAAAGTTGAATTTTTTTATGTGTGAGTGAAAAACACTAAGGTTATGTACTGTACAATTTTTAATTTTATCACGTAGGCTCATGTGCAAACGTCAGGGGAGGTAATCAAGTTATTGTAATGTTTAAATATTTGTTAAAAAAGAAAAAAAATATTATGTAAAATCTAGATATTTAAACTCTCCACTGTAAACATTACAGTAAATAGGAGAGGATCCAATTAAAAATTAGCAGACAAAAATTGTCTAAATTACTTACTGAACTATGTCTTAATGAAAATATGCTGCCAAAATATAATATAATATAATATTATATATATATATATATATATATATATATATATATATATATATATATATAATATTAGTGGTTAATATACACATATATATATGCAATCATATGTCTGAAATATACAAATATGTATACATACATACATACATACATATATATATATATATATATATATATATATATATATATATATATATGTATAAAAAATAATTCCAAGAGTATAGAATCCAGGTAGAACTCAATGTCCAGGACAGAGTAAGGATATAATAAAAGGCTTAAACACTAATATTAGTGTTTTTTATATATATATATATATATATATATATATATATATATATATATTTTTTGCTCATACCATCCAAAATAACAGCAGATTTCACTAAGTCATTGTTATTATGAGTCTTATATATAGGAATATGTATAATAGCTTGCAAAAAGGACTTAAGTATTTACCCCTTAGCCTTAGGAGCAACATAGTATCTGTGTGTTTGGTTTAGTGTCGTTCCCTGAGCCGTTTCGTAGGATCAGTGTACTATCTGTGCGCTTAACATAAAAATACCACTGTTTTGAACTTTGAACTCTTCAGTGTTCTTTTTACAATGATGTTCGTCCTGTACAAGTTCTGAGAACCACACAATGTATATGGTTAAAAAGTAAGAGGCACAGTTTATGCGGATATTTGGGTAAGATAACGATTAAACATACACTTTAACATGTTATAGAGTGTAGTGATCGGGAAAGCAACCCCTTGGGAGTCAGTTCCACAACATGCGGTTCGTGGGGAGAAGCTGCTCGAGTGGAACTTATATCTAAACAATGGAACAGGATGTGAACAATGTGTGCAGCTTGGCGGATCCCAGCCTTGAAGATTATTACTAGTGGAACTAAGGAATGTAATTCGTTTGTGCACTTTGCATATAAATAGCGATAAAGTAGGAAAAGGCTTGCAACGTTTCGTATGTGACAAAAGGGTTGTTGGGTTGAAAATATATTTGTCACCGACAAAACGCTGAGATGCATTTGAACAGGAAAGTGAAGACTGTGCAACGCTTGCCCATATATGGCAACAGTATTCCATTTTCGACCGGATCTGGTTCTTGTAAAAGTAGAGGATAACAGGAAGTGTCAGGTGCGGTAAAGGAAGCTGGCCATTTTCTCAGCATCTTTAGCGAGAGATCGTGTGTACGACTCCTACTTAAGGTCTGGATTGAGTTTAGAATGTTTCAGATTGAGTATGAACATTATTTTTCAGAGGATGAAAGCCAATTAATTCTGATGATTCATTAACGGCGCGAAAAGTATTGCAAATCCACTAATCAAATTCCTGCTTTTCTACGATCTTGTTTTAACGAAAACCGATAAAAAACATCTTCGATTTTTCAAATCTGCGTTGATGAAAACTTTTTCAGTTCCTATCTGTAAAACAACAAATTGAATAGTTAAACTGGTTTGCTAATTTAAAAAAACATTCTACAAACGGAATTAGTAGTTATTCTTGCATAGAAACTTCAATCAATTATGGGCGAGTGTTTAGAATTTTGTTTTCTGCTTCTTTGTCGCATTGGATACATGAAAAGACCCAAAAAGAAGAAGGGTTTCTGCAAGATTTAAGCATATTGCGTAATTGGAGAGAAAAAAACAAACAATTATTTCTCAATTGAAGCAATTGAGAAAAAGAAGTCCCTCAGGGGATTACTGCGATAGTCTCGCAGGCCTTGTTAATAAATTCTTTGCTCCAAAGATCTCTTTATCGGCCGCAATAATCGAATATCTATAGTAGCGACGGCAGTAAAGAGTCAGCGGGCTCGGCTCGAAAGCCATTATCTAATTCTCTTTAGCATAATTTATTATATAGTTATTCTAAAAATCCATTAATAGTATGTTCAGTAATCATTAAATTTGCCAGTGTGACTAAGTTGATATCATTTAACAAGTATCTCTTGCTCAAGACAATCGCTTTCACACACATTCACCTGCGCTAAATTACAATTAACAGCCGACTGATACTTTTTGAACATATCTATCTACCAGGGTGGCTAGCTAACCTCTGCTCAGGCGTATTAGTGTTTCTTCAACACTCACAGAGCCAACTTGTAGCTTATACAACAACGATGCTAAACGGTCCTTAATTACAGTTTATGACAGAGAGCGCATTATGTGGAGCGATCAATAGTCGGACAAGGACAGTACGATCAAAGGATCGGGCATTATGACTTGTAATTTTGTGCAAGTGGAACCGTTGATAGCTTCCTAAATAGTTTCCCTAGCCGATACCACTTGCAAGTTTTGGGTCAATTCATGGTATGGTTTTCAGGCACACACCAAAGGTGCTGCATACCAGAATATTCTCACCACGTCGATATTATAAAGAAGTCACGACTTTGACAAAATCGACCCTAAGTGAGATTCGAAATCAATTCTTATAATCGGAACTCAAACGTTTTAATTAATCCAAGATTCGCACATAAATTTCTAAGTAACAAGTAACTCGTTCCCGTACGATCACCGAAGTTGAGCAACGTCGAGTCTGGCCAGTACCTAGATGGGTGACCGCTTGAGAAAACCAGGGGTTCTAAGTTTGGATGTGCTTGTAATGCAATGGATAATGACTAGGAAGTGCTAATCTGAGAGCCGAGATCCAGTTCCGGTTGGGTTTGTTATGTTCATATACTCGCAAATATATTTTGGGAACGTTATAAATCAACCTATTCCCTCAGCTATGGGTTAATTAGTAAGACTTGTATAACTAAACAGTTATTATTTTCAAAAATAAAATACGAATTGCGTACGAACTATTTAGATTTCGCCATTAAATAACCCATAAAGGTGTTGATATGCCGCTCAACAAAAACTACCAACCAACCAGCAACAAGTAACTAACCCACGTATTGATCATATTTTACACATCGTCATCATCATTGCCATGACCAGGAGAGACTTTTTTTTATCGTATCCAGACCGGGGATCAGAAGGGAATACATTACGATAACCCTAAGCGTAAAAGATCGTAGGGGTAAGGCCGGCTATGCATAAACATCAGCGGCAAAGCCGAATATCCATAGTTCGAAGCTTCTGCTCTGCATTTGGTGCAATCAGCTGGGAGTTGTTTGTTAAGAACTGCTCAAATCGTTCGAAACCATTACGGGAGATCGCTATCGACTACAACTGATGCATTGAAGAAAAAAAAACAAAAAATAAAACTGTACGAGCAGAGACACGACAAAGTAATTTTGCAAGATGACAACGCTAGGCTACATGTTGCAAAACGGGCCAAAACCTACTTAGAAACGCTTTAAATGGCAAGTACTAACCCACCAGACATTGTCCTGTGATATATATATATATATATATATATATATATATATATATATATATATATGCCCTAGACATTGCCTTAGATATATATATATATATATATATAGTGTGTGTGCGTGATGTCCCCAAGCATTTTACTGGTCTTCGGATTAGTTTGCAAATTATTATAAAGTGTAATAGTTCCTTTTTCATTGTACGGAATTCACCTATACTTTATATATATATATATATATATATATATATATATATATATATATATATATATATATAGAGAGAGAGAGAGAGAGAGAGAGAGAGAAAGATGGGATACAGGAATCAACACAAGCAATCTCCTGACCAGTATACTACATGAAGATCGGTAAAAATGAGAGCACGCAATGTTGATACTTATATCCACATTGTCTATAGCTATGAACGCTCTATCAATTTCTCCATACACACACACACACACACACACATATATATATATATATATATATATATGTGTGTGTGTGTGTGTATGTGATTATTTGTGTTTATATGAGGTGAGTATGAGAAAAAATCAGAATACAGTTGTAAATCTGAGATATACAGATGGTTAGACTTATAGTATAATTAAAAAAATAACTGCGTTAAACACCTGTATTTTCTCATGTTTACAACTGCATTTTTTACTCACTGTATATATATATATATATATATATATATATATATATATATATATGTGTGTGTGTGTGTGTATGTGTACGTGTATGTACGTGTGTGCATGGATTATTACTCATTGTTTTCTTGCATCTCTTTTCCGAGTATTTAATTTTCCTTATACTTACTTTATTTTCGATAAACTTTCTTACTTAAATACTGAATTGCAAGATTCATTAATACAGTTGTTCCGCATTACGTTTTGCACCATGTAAGGTAAATAGCGAAAATTGCATTCGTATTCCAATGGAGATTTGATATGTTAACCAACCTGCCTATATTTCAAAACATAAACAATGATTTGATATATTTTTGATGACGAAATCTTTATTTGTTGGTTTTAGGAATTTTCAGCAAGTCTCGAATATTTGGCAGATGATTTTATACGTGTGGCATTCATCGGTTTTTAGTCATTAAATCCTTCAGTATTTGTGCTGTATGCATTTTCCTTTGTCTAAATGTTAATATTTACAAGTAAAATTATGTTTGTAAATTTCAAACCAGCGCTTTCGTGCATTGGCCACAGATTTTTAAAAAAATGTGTTGCACGACTTTAGTTTTTTTAGACATGTCATATTCAGACATACACAACATTGTGCAAATTAATTGAAACAAAACGAATAATACCATTATTATTTATTTATTTTCATATTTTTTCAATGAAACATGCACACGTTCGTACTTCGTATTTCCATTCCAAGAAGTCGTTCCTTGCAGATTGACCAGAGATTTTCGATTGGATTTAAATCAGAAGAGTTTCCAGGCGAATCTATAGTACTCACTTATTTGCTCACTGATTTGCTCACTGGTAACACTTGCCAGTGTGTTCGTGCAGTGTTACAATTTTCGTATGTTTCCTTGGAATAACGTCCATTGCAGACAATAACCGTAGGGCAACTAATTGACAGTCGAGACAAGAGTGCCTGGGCTTGATAAAACTCTGATGCAATCACGGATGGCACAATATTTTTCAAGGCCAAACAAATTTCATTATACAACCCCGGAAATAGATTCATAATACTGAACACCACTCCAAATGACCTAATCTGAGATAGAAATAGAAATTGATTACACACTGTCACTCTAGTGGGTCTAAAACTGACCGCATGATGAAAGAAAGGAAACTATAGCGATTGTCTCAATTAATTTGCACAAGGGTAATACATACATACATACATACATACATGCGCACACAAACACATACGCGCGTGCGCACACACATACTCGGGTGCATTCTAACAAAGCAGAAAAATCAATCTGTCACCAATAAAAAAGCGCATAAATTATTTTTTAACTGGTCACTGATAGTAGCCATAGATATATATCTAGTCAACATATATTTTCACTATATATATATATATATATATATATATATATATATATATATATATATATATATATATATATACACACAACAAATAACGGTTAATTATTTTTATACAAAAGTAATTCGATATTTCATTTTAGAAAACTTTGGCTTAAATAATATAGGGACGACTTCCTATGATTACACGTATTTTATCAAGTTGATTATTTTTAGAAATCCATCCTAAACTTCTAAGATTCATGATTATCTATTCGGCATAGAAAGCTAACATAAAACCCATTTTACAGGCAATAAGTAACGTTGCACTTGCAAGATCAACCAATCAAAACTGTTTATTAGCATATCGTAGCGTCAGCTTAACTGCCGCCATTTTTCTTTTTTCTCAATTATTGTGACCATTTTGCTTAATTTTAGTATTTACTTGATTTCAGATAAAAACTAGGGAATTTTTGAAAATATTTCAATCAAATTTTAATTTTCCAATATTATAGTGTATAATTTAGATCTATGGAAAAAGAAGGGGTCATTTTAACTCATAACATTTTGGTGTTAGTTTAAGCTGACACCTACGCTTTTCCATATCTTGCGATCGTTTTGTCTAAAGATTGTATTTTCTTGATTTCAGATGAAAACTTGGAATGTTTCGAAAATATATCCGAGAAATGTTCATTTTCTATAATTAGTTTTATAATTATATTTTAGGTATATGAAGAAAGATGGCGCCACTTTGTAGTGATGTTGCGAAGATATGGATTATCTAGGATTGTATCGTCTGTTCTCTGTTATTCTCAAAATCGAATATTAGACGTGATTTCCGGTGCCGTGCGCTCGTATGGGTGATGTCATTTGATGGTCACTGATAGTAGCCATAGAGATATATCTAGTCAACATATATTTTCAATATTTGATAATCAGATAAACCTCATTCTTAATTTTTTGTAGATTATTCCTCAATCTTGTTTCTGTACCGTTTTGTACTGGTCAACACAGAAAATTCTGTATTAGTGCAAGCGAATTGTAGGCTACTGAATTTCGAGTAACAGCATTGAGTCGGAATGAACGAACGTTCATGAGTTTTTCTTTTTTAAATATTATGTTATTGGTTCTGACCTGACATCTCGGCTGCACTCACTTTCCCACCGCCGTAACGTATCTTCTCTATGCCTTCTCTGTAAATGTTTTCATGATAATCCTTCTGATGAGCTTTCCTCTTGTTACCTAGATTTTACGGATTTGGGCGTATTACTAGATTAGCGGAAAGGACACGTCGTTTTAGGGTCGAAATGGCTAGATGTAACCGTAAGTTCTATGCTAACAGTTTCTTCTTTCTGTTATGGGGTCCACCCCTTTTTCATACAAGTGGACTCGACCAGTGTGTACTTGTACTGCTGCCGGTGAATACCCGGGAGTGATAGTGATACAGTGAGAGAGCGAAAGTTTGAGGTAACCGCTTTGTAGGAGTCACAGTTGCGAGCACATAGACTCAGAAGGAAGTCATACTTCGATACTGAATTTCCCAGACTGTATATATATATATATATATATATATATATATATATTATTGCTACTAACCGCATTTATGGATCTACTAACCGTATTACCAATTGTATTATTACGTCAATACATTTATTTGCTATATTTCATTCCTGCGTTTTTCATTCATTTGAGACCGGATTTCAACCCGGAATCCACAACACTTTCACAAATGAAGCTCTCTTCTGACTTCTTGCTTAACGATCAATTTAAATGCAATGCCAATCGTTCTGTCTTCTTATTTCTTGCTTTTTATTGTTTTTTCTTCTTAATAATATCATATTATTTCACACTCACTAACCTCTTGCGTCTTAGTATCTTTCTTGCATTGCTTGAGGTGAAATTATTAAAAAGGTACTATGATTTTTAAAATCTCGACTACATTCAGTAGAAATTATTATTAACTAGTTAGACTCGAGGAAATTCAAAGTCATTTTACAAATAAGGTTATTCATCTTCGCTTAACTGTATCTTTTAAATATCTCTTTTAATATACATAATGTTATTTTCCCTTCGATGAAAACCTTTAGTAACATGGGAAGAACAACTTTGTGCGTTTTTGTCTTAAATCCATCTAAGGGTACTTTTTGGATACTTACCATAATATAACTGTTATATTTTGATATATTTTCTTTCATAGTTAATATCAGAAGGGGTAAGTTTTGTATTGCGTTTAACCTTTTCAAATGATTTCAAATCAAGCACGTAAAAGACAC